CGGCGCCAACGCTGTCTGCAGCGCCAGCCTCAAGCACACTTGCCAGATGAACAGCTTCGGCAGCTCCGGCACCCTCGGTGGCGCCGACACCGGTTTCCTCGCCAACTTCGCCGGCAAGAACGTCGCCACCGCCCAGGTTGGTTCCGCCAGCGCCATCCAGAACGGTTCTGGTGTTGGCAGGATCTAAGCCTGTCATGCACAGTGATGTTTTGGGGATGTCAAGGGCGACGCGGAGCGCGCGGATTTTACTTCTTGACTGTATATATTTTTTTGAGGCCCGCGGTTGGTCGCGTGATATGAGGTTTTTGAGATGGCTTGGAAATAGTAGTTTTTAATAGCCGTCAATAGAGATCATCTATTTTGTTAATTATGTGAGCGGCTGTGTGTGATGGCTGTCTTGGTGAGTTTTTCCATTTTGCTGATAGGATAGTTTAATTGCTCTGCCGTCATCCGTTTCTCGTACGTGTGACTGAAACATGGTTTTGCATCGCCGCAGTCGCCCCAGCTTGCACTGTAATTCCTCCTTGCTCAGCATCGTGTTGAGCGACTTTGTACGAGTTTAGGATTTCTGCGAATCGGCCACATAAATCTAGGTGGTGTCAACTAAGACGCGTAGGTTACGCATGTAACACGACCAGGCTTATTCTCAGCTCGTTTGCACGTGACGCAACCAGCAACCTGGTCACAGAGCAAAAACGTATGATAGAAGGCCGAGATGTCGATCGCATGTTACTCTAAAATCTGCTATACCACAGACGAAGTGATGATGATGTCAGTGTTGGGGGGTATGTTGTTGTTAGATGCGAAGTACATCTGTTCGCGGAATATTATTGTCATTTCGGCGCGGTTTGAGTGGATCAAATTGGATGTTAAAGATCTTTGTAGTAGGTGTTGTTCATTCCCTGATTATACGCTTGCAATTTGAATTGCACCCCGGGTAGGAGTGACCACGAGTTATCCCAGGTTCCTCGTTGCAGTCGCTTATCCAATACCACTGAAGGTGTCCATCCATATCTCGCTCTTGGGGGATTCCTGAGTATGGTATCTCGAATTTGCAAGGACTGTCTGTGAATATAGGGTTCGCCGCAGGATACATCTATCAAACTCACGAAGTTATCTGTATCCAATTGTTTCCCGCTCTCAACATACGAATCGATTACGCTGCACCTTCATCAACTATGTGATGTCTCGAGAAAGCAAATCCCTGATCACGAGTCTACTCATGTTTGTTCTTGATGGTGTGTGACTACCGTCATCAGACGTAGATTTGGCTGGGCTTTGCTTTGTCCGACTCATTTTAAAGCTGACAAGAGCTCACTTTCCACTGATATTGCGGTGCTCAAAGATGTCAAGGCCGTACGAGATAATTGACAGCATCCATTTTATAGGCGACATCGGTGCACCGACGCCTGCTCAAAGTCATGCAGTGGGGCGGTACACAACTGATCATTACGCATTGTTGCGGCGTTCTCGAGGCGATTGACCCGCTCATTGTGAATTCAACTATCCTCCGGGTTTACCTTTGTTGACCTGTGTACGAATCAACCCGCTTAACAATGTGGTAGAAAACGGCATGTCCAAAGCTCAAGACGCCGTTATATAAAACACAAACTCCCAAACACAACGATCCCTTCCGGATCACATATCAAGCAAAGACAAACACAACCGGCCACCACCCCGAGCGAGTTCCAGTCGGATACAGTACAGCTCGTCAATCCAACCAGCTCAGCAGCCATGGCACCTCGCAAGGGCGGGAAACGTAATGCTTCCAACCGCAGTCAAGGTAAGAACGATAGTATTGCTTTGAGAGCAAAGCGACGCATTTTCACGCGTAGTCAAGCTACTATCCAGCGATCAGTTTCTAATATGCGATATGCAGCCTCGTCAAGCACTCCAGATCCCACCACGAAACAATCCTCTTCAGGCACATCCGGCAACGCCAAACCTCACGCCGAACTCTCCAATGACGTGCAACCTCACGAGCCTTCAGACGGGGCCATTCCGTCCCCTGCAACCCCCAGCGCAGGCTTCGACGTCAACCACGACAATCTCCAGCTCATAGCTCGCATCCAGTCCGCCCTCCAACATGCCCAATCACCCTCCCCTCACGCCCTCATATCGCACAGCCACTTCACCCTCCAAGTAACCGACCCGCCATCCACGCCGCTCCATCTCCTCCGCACCAGCCCCCTCGCCACCCTAATCGCCAGCACTCCCACCCACGAAGTCTACTCGCTCCCCATCCCCGTCGCCCCGCCCGCCTTCCGCCGGCAATCAGAACAGTGGTGGGCCGGCCGTTCTCCAGCTGAGATCCGCGCCGGTCCCATCCGCGACGCCGAGGATGTCAGACTGGCAGAGCGCGAGATCAGGTCTAGAGCTGGGCGGCGGAGGAAGAGCCTTACGGCGAAGAACGGGCTGTTGAAACAGCAGGAGGAGTATATGCTGGAGAGCCTGAGGAGGCAGACTTTGCGGCTGCCGATGGAGGGGGCGGTATCGCGTGAGGTGGAAAGGGAGGCGATGGAGAGGTATGGGGTGGAGTGGGAGGATTCGCTGGCGGAGTTGGGGGGTGAGGGGGATGCTGGCGCTGGCGGGGACGGAGCTGTGGAAGATGGGGATGAGGTTGAGATGGAGGAGGTTGATGGGGATGGTGAAGGTGAGTCGGAATACTCCGAGTGGGAGAATACGGATGATCGTGACTACAGGGAGTAACGGATAAAAGTAGGGAGACTTGACAACTAGAGCTGCCGATTTGGTATCTGGACCTGGGTTTTCAATTGAAATAGCCAGGGTGAGTGTCTAACTTCCCAGACTTTTGCATAGAACGTTTGGAGTCTTTGATATTCAACTCTTGTTCTGTGGTTGATGCATCGGAAAAGCCTTACTTGAAGGTATAATTTAATCAAGCATTTTTTATGACTCCGTTCAAAATGTAGCAAGATAGCAAAGTCATATGTCAACGATCAATCTCGATATTTCATACCGTTGCAGTTGCTGTGGGTTGGTTGAATTAACAGAGCTTCATCTTTCAGTTGTTCCGTAAATTCTTGACGTCTGGAAACACCGACGGAGAAGCGGTGGACACGATGATAATGTGAGATCTGTAAACAAAGCAGTAGTACGGCACGTTCACAACGGACGACACAAGGAAACATATTTTAGGTATCCATCGAAAACACGTTATCCACGATGTACTGGACTGGCTTGCCACCTCACCGCGTTTCATCACTGTTTTGACGCACGAGTTGGATTTTCTGGCGTACGCACTTCAATCAATGAAATTCTAATTATGACAGGTCAAGTTACCCCAGGATAAGCTATCAAAAGTTCGCTTTGTAGACGCATGATGACCTGGCTCCAACCGTTTTCAATGAGACCGGCGAAAATCGAGCTAGCAAGCCCGGGTTGGCCCAACGGGCGAAGATGCTCAGCAACGCACAGGACCTAATACCGCTCCAAAGAGAGTCGTCACACGGCCGAAACAATCAATTACGCTCAAACTTACCTATCGATGACACTGATGTGTTCTGTGGGACTTATGCACTCCAGTCCAGCAAGACAACATCAGCAAAATTTGTTGGTCTCACCCGAGCTTCCGGCCAAGCCCCTGTTTACGGTTACACGGGCATGTTTTAACGAGCCCAAAAAGCTGTCGACGGCTACGTTGAAGTCCTGAGGGCTACAAATGACGTTAGAATCGCTACCGATCGTTCCTAAGTGAGCAGTCGTTCGCAAACTGTTCAAAGACCAAGACCCTGGAAACGACTTGATGGAGCACCACCGGTCCGTCACTAAACTCAGAGATATCTTTGACCCTGCAAAGTCTGATCACCGGTCCACCACTGAACTCAGGGATATCCTTGACGCAGCAAAGTCTGATCGCCGGGTGGTTTGGGATTTGTCGGGCCGGACGGCTTCACAACAAGAGTGGCTAACCTATTAGCCATGCAAAAGAGATGGCCACACCTGGTTATCGATTTGGTGATCATCGTTCTCGAGGGCTTTCCTGGGTGAGTTGACCTCATGTCGCTCTCATATATGCAATAGCTGACGAATGAGACCATACAGATCGCTAGTAGCATTTCCCCGCATGGCAAATGGGAGATGTGGGGTTCCCGGGGTCGTGGTAGGCGATAGGGAGGGCGCCCGCGGGGAGGACGGAGTGTTGGGGTGATCGGTGTGGTGAGTCATGTGTAACCGTGGCTCTGGGATGGCGAATGGGATACAGTGAGGTATCTTCCTATTGAACGGTTCCGGCGAGAAGTGCTTCACGCATTGGAATGATAGCGGAGGGATATAGTGCGGTAGTCACATGTCGTCGCTATGAGCTCCAAGCACGGTGGTCCGGACTTGATAGGGTGGCTAGTGTCGAGGAGAAAGAAAGGTAGATAGAAGTGCAGGGCATCTGAGGTTAAAGCGAGTAGAAGAGACCATTCAAAGCTTTAGTGAAGAAGGTACATCGAGTTTAGATTCGGAATGGGACTACCGGACATGTCAGTCAGAGCCCATAGAGTATACAACGCTGGGCGCGCCTTAGCCGCTTTTTTGGTACCCCTTTGTTCGTGCATTGGCAAAGCACAACGCGCCTTTTTGTCCCCCCTACTTTATTGAGTTACCCTACCTCATAGTGAATCTCTACAATATATAGAGTATACATAAAAGTAAGAAGATAAATAGGATGTAAAAGCAAGAGATTAGGGAGTAGGTAATGGGAAAAGGAGAGGTGCTTATATCTTAGGACAAAATTGATATCACACTACTAGTGTATTCTTAAATTTAAAAAGGGTTAGAATCCATGTATCTACTCAGTTCGCGCAAGGGCTGATAGTAAAAAGATAACACTGTTTTAGCATAGACAAGACTAGCAGGGTAGGCGAGTAAGTAGGGCTAATCCTAGATGGATTATTTGCACAATGAGAATGCAAAAACAAAGTGCGCCGATCTGATCAAGCAGGGAACGTGAATTGAACCCACGCCACAACAACCAAAAAAGAAAACTTCCTTAGCTGAGCTACGTTTCGATCGTAGGTCCTCCGGGTTATGAGCCCGGCGCGCTTCCGCTGCGCCACTCAGCTTTTCGAAGCTCAAGGTGAATTGATAGAAATTGTTCCAAAAGTATAATATATATACGCAATGTTTGTTCTTTTTCCAGCAAGTCACACCTGTGGATCTTCACCACTACATCGGCAGGCGAGGGACGGGCCACTTTAGTTTTGTTGAAGAAATTTCTATACTAGTGCGGGGTTCCTTTGCCCCTCGGTAAGTGCCACTGCAGCACCAAGGGTTGCCTCAACACAAAGGGCTTCGGAGCGATGGAAAGTAACTTGATAGTTAGACGATATGCAAAATAGTATCACATAAGAGTATTGCTCTTGATATCTACTGGTGTTGTATGTAGCAATCTTTCAGTGATGATATGACAGGAGAGCAATGAATCGATCTATTTTATCGAGCCGCCCAGGCGAAAGGCAGCGAGAATCCACGGACTCTGGTCGATATGACCTACGACAGGAGGATACTGCAGCCACATGCCAAATACACAAAGTATTTGCGATGACTTTGCGGTTCTGGCAAGCGCGTGCGCCTGCGTTGCGAAAACCACACTAGACCGATACAGTTAGACCGAATCGCGTCGCGTGTCGACCGTGGTGCACTTTACACGCGTCGCATCTCTAGCTCATCAATACCTCCGCTGGACTACATGCACACACAGGACGTCGTCACTGATATAGAGATTCAATGAGCACGTACTCAGACGGTATTCCAACCTCCTTCGACCCCGCTCTCCTCAACTCCGAACTCGAATTTTCCAACGCGCCCGCCTCCAACTCCTTCTCCGACGATCTCCACGCGATACAGGAGTGCTTCGCCGACGAAAAAGCCAAGAAGACCAGCGCCGGCATAGTCATACAGCATCGTATTTGGAACACATTGGAAGCCTTTAGGAGCGAGGAAGACTACCCAATCGGTATTGCGAACGGTCGAACGACGCGAGAGCCGAACTAATCTCTCCAGACACGCCGCTGAAGCACCTGAAAAACGCGCCCCTCCGAAGATTGCCAACCGATAGTGACATTCCCTCTTCACCACCCGTCATGCCACTCATCTCTTCGCCTGTGGCATATCCGGCGAGCTCGTTAGCAAACCCAACTTCCCCGAAGAAGAGAAAGCGATCGGATGCAGAGCGCAGCCCGCTTAGAGATGTGCCAAACAACAACGCTTCAAGAAGATTGGGGGCCTTTTTGGACGATTCAGATGACGAAGACGACATTGCAGCGCTCAAAGAGCAGGCGCTAAAGAGGAGAGCGATCAACAGCATCAAGGACCTCCCAGCTTTGCCAGATGGCATGGACGACTACACTCCGCCAGCCAGCCAGCCAGAGATCGCAGACTCAGAGGCGGTACCCATTGAGGCTCTGGATGAGTACCTCAAGTCACCCTCGCCCGTCAAGCAACCCGCAGCGCGACTTGACGAACCTACCTCGGCACAGCCAAACCGCGGTAGGGTCGTGCGGACGGCCTCTGGGAAGCCATTCTATCTCCCCAAGAAGATTCAACGGGAGTCCGTATCATACGAGCAGCTCATCGCGTCTCGCTCCGATGGCGATCAAGGTCAGGCTAGACAGAGCTACTATGGCATCAATATCCACCGCCTCATAGACGATGCGAAGGCGATGGACGAGGCAAAGTCTGCTCAACAAGAGCGAACACGCGCCGAACCCACACGACAGTCCGTCGAACAACCTATGCCTGGGAAGGCAAACCGGACGTTAATGTGGACCGAAAAATACCGGGCGAAGAAGTTCACAGACCTAGTTGGCGATGAACGTACACATCGCTCCGTTCTCCGATGGCTCAAGGCATGGGACCCGATCGTGTTCCCAGGTGCAGCCAGACAAAAGCCGAAGATTGCAAAGAAGGGTTTCGAGGAAGAGGAGCAGAAACACCGCAAGATTCTTTTGCTCACCGGGCCGCCGGGTCTCGGAAAAACGACTCTCGCCCACGTATGCGCTCGGCAGGCTGGCTACGAGGTGCAGGAGATCAATGCGTCCGATGAGCGCAGCAAAGATGTCGTCAAAGGCCGCATTCGCGACATGGTTGGCACTGAGAACGTCCGCGGAGTCAACACCACGACTGCAGGTGGCAAGGTTCGGAAAGCAGGCAAACCGGTGTGTGTGGTCGTGGATGAGGTCGACGGCGTGGTTTCTGGCAGCGGTGGCTCAGGCGAGGGAGGCTTCGTCAAGGCGCTGATTGATCTCATCAACCTGGATGACAAGAACTCAAAGAGCATTGGACAGCAAAGCTCGACCGGACCGAAGCGGAAGAAGAAGGGGGACAAGTTTCGACTATTGCGCCCACTCATTCTCATCTGTAACGACGTGTACCATCCTTCACTCCGACCGCTGCGACAGTCATCGTTCGCCGAAATCATCCACATCCGCAAGCCTGCCCTAAACATGGTCGTCTCACGTATGCAGGAAGTGTTCGTCAAGGAGGGCATCCAATGCGATTCGGACGGTGTGCGACGATTGTGTGAAGCAACCTGGGGAGTCAGTACGAAGAAAGAGGGTGGCACGGGAAGTGGAACAGGCGAAGGGGACATCCGTGGTGTAATGGTGGTGGGAGAGTGGGTTGCGGGTCGGTTCAGAAGTTCCATGGACCCGAAGGCTAAGGAAACACCCAGACTTAGTCGTCGCTGGATCGAGGACAACATCATCAACGATCTTGGTCATGGAGGCGGAGCAGCTCGCAGCCTGGGACGAGGTGGCGCAAAGGACGTAGTTGATCGCGTCTTCCGCGAAGGTGCAGGCTTCCCCAAGCAGGCCGAGACCACCGATGTCAAGACCGCAACCGCGAGAGCGAAGCAAGGCGTGGTTGGTGTCGCTGAGGCAGCAAAGAAACGCGCGATGGCTCGGCTCCGGGAGATGGTCGACACGAGCGGTGAAAGCGATCGCATCATAACTGGTATGAGGACCATGTCCCCTTATTGATCAACGTCTGACAACATCTAGACTGTTTCTCTGCCTACCCCACGAAGGCTTTCCAGGACGATAACTACCTCAGCAAACCCACTGCAGCATACGAATGGCTGCACTTCCACGACACACTCTCATCTGCCGTTCACGGGTCCCAGGAGTGGGAGCTTGCGCCTTACCTCTCACAATCTGTCCTCGCCTTCCACAGCCTCTTCGCTTCACCCCGCCAGCAGTCGTCCAACCCAATCACCGACCCCGATGCAGAGACAAGCCCGTTTTCTGGCCCAAGCGCGAACTACATGGCTAGCGAGGAGCTGAAAAAGAACAAAGCGCAATTGATGGCATTGCAGAGCACATTGAGTCTCCCACTTACGCGACAATTCAGGAGCCCAGAGGAAATGGCGCTCGAGCTCATACCGTATGTGCTCAGGATGCTGTCGCCGGACGTCAAGCCCGTCATCGTGAATACCGGTGCCACAGGCTCAAAATCGGTGGCTACCGCCTCTGTCCGGAAAGCTTCGGAGAAGGTGCTTGTCAAGAAGGCTGTTGAAGCTATGGCTGCAACGGGGGTGCGGTTCGAGAGAAGCAGAGTAGAGCTGGAAGACGTGGCGAATCGGACGGGTGGCTGGGTCTTCCGCATGGAGCCTCCGCTCGACTCGCTCGCTGCTTTCGAAACGCTTGGTGGCAAGAAAGACGAAAAAGTGCGATACGCAGTTCGTAGCGTGTTGGAAACGGAGTGGAAGAAGGAGAGCGTGCGGATGGATGCCGAGGCCGCGAAGCGGAGAGGCGGACATCTTGATACCGATGACACAGTCGAAGACGCGAAGGAGGAGATTGATGTGGAGAAGGTGGCGGAGGAGAACAAAAAGGTTTTGAAGAGGGACTTCTTTGGGAGGGTTATCAAGGACGTTCCGGTGGGGCAGGGGGTCAGGAGAGAGAAGAACGTGGTGAAGCATCATGACGAGGGAAGGATATGGGTGAGCTTTCACGAGGGGTTCTCGAATGCGGTGCGGAAACCTATTACTATCGATGAGCTGATGAGGGGCTTGTAAATCCACGGGAAGAACACGAGATCATGATATTGTATGTTGCCACAACTGATCCAGTAACAAAGTGCAATTTGTTCACTTCCTCACCCTACCATGTCAAAGATCGGCCAGCAGGCAAATCCCACTGCACCCCAGAGCGCTTTACGGAAGTGACCTTGTTGGTATGCCATGCGGGAGTTTCCAGAGCCGCTAACAGGCTGCTCCAACATGGTATTATAATCAAGACTATGGAAACGACGACCATCTATCGAAAATATTCATAAAGAATGTAAGATATGTGATGACTTTGCGTCTGACCGCTCCATTACTCTCGGCGGCATGGCCTGTCTCTTCGCCTTCAAGTCCCTGTCCCAACCCAACTCCGTCGGGCCCGGCGACCCACCGCCTAGACCCCGATTATTTGCTCCAGGCGGCGCGTAGTTGGTATACCGACGGTCGTGTAGCTCGGGGGAGGGACTATTGGTCAACCCCAATTCGCTGCTTGCTCCCTGTCCCTGTCCCGTCCCTGCAGCTGCAGCGATCTGAGGCAATTCCATTAGGTTGCGGTTTGGACTCGGCTGAGCAGTGCCTGTACATATATGCTGCTTGCAATTGGCCCAGTGACGCCTAGTCAAAAGTTCTTTACGACAGTCATCAAATCGCTACTGTTTGTGGGCGGGAACTGCTGCTGAGTGAGGTTGAGACCGCTTTAAGTAACTTGACAGATGCCTTGAGCTAAGGAAAAAGCCAGCATTCCCATGGGCAGGGCTCCGGCACCGCCACCGATACTGCCTAGAGAGGGTGCAAGTTGATTACTCAGTCCAGAACCGAAATTCTGAACCACGAGATTAATTCCAGTAGGCTAGGCTCCGCTAGCAGACGCTATCTTTGTTGCGATTGCCTTCGATTGGTCCGCCGTGGTGATATTGAGACCGTTTCCCGCGCCCATTCTGTGAAAAGTCAGTACGATCCGCTCAAAGACTGGACTCGAAACTAACCCAAGTCCGATTCCCAGGAAGTAAGCAGGCGTTGCTAACCCACCAACAATCTTCTCCGTGATTCCAGAAAGTC